CTTTAATCAACAACAGGGGATTTTTAATGGTGGAAACCAAAATCTTGATCAAACAGTTAGATTTTAAAGAGAACCTTAAAAAAGGAAGAAGAGTTGAAGGGGCTAGGGGGAAGAGAATTTCCAAGCTTAGGTTCAAGACAGCTGAAGCTAAAGCCACCAGAAGTGAGGAAGACAAAAGGAGAAATTGGAATTGTAGAGGAAGGATAGAGCAAGGTCATGGGTAGATTTGAAATTTTGCAATTATGTTTGGACAGAACACAATTTAGATCAGTATGAAATTGAAGTGGGACTTGCTATAAGGTCACAGACAGTAGAATTTGGGATGATCATGGGTATGTGGAGATAGCTTGTCTCCCACATTCTAGGACTGTACTGAAATCGCACAGCAAGATGGAATAAGTGCTGGATGCAGGGTTTCAGCAGCAGATGGGCTGAGGCAAGGCTGATACACTGGAAACTGAGCAAGTGACCATCATCTAATAGGACAGATAAACTGATCCATCAGCCTGAAACTGACTGGCCACATAGCTGTCAGTTAATGCAACACAAGCGAATGGAAATTATGGAAATTCTTTCTACAACATTTTACAAAACCATAAAATGAAAAGGAAACAGTGTCAAAATCATTTAATATCCTGTGAACCAGTAATCTTGTGTAAAGCAATCTCACAGAATCATAGTAAAAGGAGAAAGCAAACGGAATTCTTGGCAGAGACGTAATTAAACAACCACCTGTATAATAAACAGCTCAGCACAAAAGGGCTTAAATCCTTATTGTTCGACAGGCAACACAGGTACTGTCAGATTTACAGAGTTCAGAATTGATCAGAAGAACTTACCAAGATATGATGGATGATGGTAAATGCTCGAAACCATTCTCAGAGAAATAACTGTCATCTGCCATTTATTTGCTGAGAAATGATTCTCCGCTTCATCCAAGAAAAGCAGGTGTATAGTTCACAGGCTGTCTGATTTGCAGGCAAACGAAACCTGATCCAGGACTATCAGATAAACTATAGCGTCAGTGACAGCCCATCACCCCCAACAAGAGCCCCTTAGAACAGATTCTATTTAAAGAGAGAGATGCAGTGATGCCACAGAGGCCAAGCCAATAATAAAAACCCGGTCGCTTCGACAAACACATTGCTTGTTTAAACAACATGAACACATAGCAAATACAGGGTGGCAGTTCAACTATGGAGCTTGTCAGAATGCAATAATCAGTCCCCATGTCTAAACATTTTTCAAGCTATGCTCAGTCACAGCTCATCTGAACAACATTCATCTCACTTAAACATGCACTGTTCAACAAATTCACCATTATTCTGTTTTCATTGCCATCCTCACATGCACTGACAAAAAAGCTTAAAAATCTACCTTTGGATTTTACCAGCAAGATGCTTTCTCAAACTCATCGTAAAATACCCGGATCTCTGTCACTTGGCATCTTTCCTAAACTGCATCCTATTTTCTAAAATTATCATTTACTACAAATCTGCGAAGCCAAGTTTCAAATTACACTGCATGCATGCACACACACAGACAAATTGGAAAAGTTTATCAATTTCACTTGCAATTCCCACCCTGATCTCACTTTCACCTGGTCTGTCTCATAGAAACCTTACTGTGTGGAACGAGGCCATTCAGCCCATTGAGTCCACTCGGCCCATTGAGTCTACACCAACTCCCAAAGAACATCCCATGCAGACCCACTCCAACCCCGTAACTCTATATTTCCCATGGCTAAATTCACCTACTCTACTCATCTCTGGACACTATGGGCAATTTAGCATGGTCAATCCACCTAATGTGCACATCTTTGGACTGTGGAAGGAAACCAGAGCTGACACAGGGAGAATGTGCGGACTCCACACATATAGTCGCCCAAAAGTGGAATCGAATCCAGGTCCCTGGTACTGACAGGCAACACTGCTAGGCACTGAGCCATCGTGCCACCCACCGCTGACTCCCCACTTCCTCTATGCATCTGTTTCCATTTCTAGAGATAGGCTGGCCACCAATATCCACTACAAACCAACTGACTCTCAGTTACCTTGACCATAGATCCTCACACTTTGCTTCCTGTAAAGACTATTCCATTCTCCCAGTTCCTCCATCTCCATCGCACCTATTCTGATGATACAAAGTTTGAAATAGGGGCCTCCAGAACGTCCACCTTCCTGAATTGACAATTCCCCAGCACTGTAGTTGATAGGTCCCTCAGTCGGGTCTGACCCCTCTCTGGTACTTCAGCCGTCACCTCCCTCTTCCCTCCCAAAACAGCAATAGCCTCCCCCTTGTCCTTACTTACCATCCCATCAGCATCCACATCTGGAGGACCATTAGCTGCCATATCCACCACCTTCAGTTGGATGCCACCACCAACGTGTACCCACCCCCCCCCTCACCTCATCAGCCTTCCACCAGGGCCGTTCCCTCCAGGATAGCCTGGTCCATGCCTCCTTCCCTCCCAAGATGCCCCACAGCACCCTCCCCTAAAACTGCAGGTGTAACACCTATCCATTTATTTCCTCCCTTCTCAGTATCTGTAGCCCAAACACACCTCCCAGATGAAGCAGCGCTTTTCCTGCATTTCACTCAATCTAGTCTACCACATTTGCTGCTCACAGTGTGGTCTCTTCTAAATTGGGGAAACAAAGCATAGGCTGGGTAACCACTTCACAGAACGTGTCCGTTCTGACTGCAAGAAAGATCCTTGGGCACCACTATCATGGGATAGGAGGATGTGGTGGAAGATGGAGATTATGTTGGTACTGAACCAGTTTAGTTGTAAAATGATGAAAAAAGGAAAAGCTTTGAGAAGCATCCAGTTGCCTGCCACTTCAACACATCACTTTGCTCCCCGTTCATCTGCCTCAGGTTTGCTGCAGTGCTCCAGCTCGGCTCAGCGCAAGTTGGAAGAACAGCAGCTTATTTTCCCCTTGGTAACTCTACAGTTTTCTGGGCTCAATAGAGTTCAACAATTTTGGGGCTTCAGGCACTTTCTCCCATGTCTTCACCCCAACCCCCATACACCAGACCTTGTTATCACATGATTTGTTATTATACACAAGCCATTGTTAGCCACTAATTGTCCATGTTAGTAGCTATCCATTGTCCTCGGTTGATATTTATCCATTCTTTTATCTGACCAACTATTCTTCCCTCTCTTTGGGCTCTATTTCCACCTATCATTTACTCCTTACCACATTTCCTCCCACCCTATCTTATGCAAAAAAATCTTTTTCTTAGGTTTTGGAGTAGATTTGTAGCTCGGGTTGTGGCCTATTGCAAGCACGAGAATTCCTGGAAGCATGGCACTCCACAAAGCAGGCTATTAATAAACACATTGAACTCGATAGATTCCACTGCGGAGGAAACCCGGAAGTGAGGCAATCCATCGCAACGGACCCCAGAGTTTAAAAACCAGGCAGGAAAACACACAGAGGCTGCAGTGAGGATGCTACCAAGCGCGGTAACGAAATGTCTGCGGAACAACAAACCAGCTCGGCGAGCCAACCAACCTCAACAATCTTTTTCTTAGCTACCAGTTCTAAGAAAGGGGCACTGGACCCAAAACGTTAATTCTGTTTTCTCTCCAGCTATGCTGCCATACCACTGAGTTTTACCAACAATTTCTGTTGTTTCTGATATCCAGCATCTGCAGTTCTTTTGGTTTTCTAATCACACCGAATGCTAGCTTCAATTAATCAAAGATATGCTGCAAAAAAAAGTCACTGAAGATCCTTAGACATTACCTTCCAAACTCATGACTACTTCCACAGTCACTATCCTGACTTAGAACTATATTACTGTTCCTGGGTCAAAATCCTAGAATTCCCTTTCTAAGAGCATTGTGGATCAACGTATACCATGTGGACTGCAGCAGGTTAAGAAGGCAGTTGTCAAGGGCAACACGGGACAAGCATTAAATGCTGGCCAGTCAGGAATACCCACGTTCCTGGAATGAATAACTGAAAATCTTGTTGGTGACATAATAAAATAACAGCATTATACCACTTAAAAGGGTGAACTGGATCTCCAATCCATACATTTTGTATCCCAATCAAACAGGAAACTAAATGTTTGGTCAATTCCCACCCATGCACATGCTTAATCAATTACAATTTCTAACCCGGATGCTTTGTATTGCTTCTACCTGTTCCATCCCGAAAACTTCAGCAGAGGTTGCTCAAATCCCTGCTTTCACTGTGCCAATGTTTTTGGTCTACACTTAGTTTCAGAGCCCCTTGGGGCTCTGGTAAAGACTGATCTACTTCTACCTGCAGAGGACTAGGCATCACTAGCACGGGATAGGATGATGTGATGGGAGATGGAGATTGTGTTGGTACTCAGCCGGTTTGGTCATAAAATGATGAGAAAAGGAAGAACTTCAAGAAGAATTTCCACTTCCCTGTCTCTTCTATCATTCCTCCCTGGAGCTGAGTCACATCATTACGCCTAATCTGCTGCAGACAAGTTTGGTCAAGATTGGCCTTACAAAATATCACCATCGATACAGTATCAGAAGGTAGCAGATACCTCCTGTTGAGCAGTGGTACGCTCTGTGACAAACAGTATCTGGAATCTCCTCCAAGTTAAAGTCCCTCAGAGCTCGCTGTACACCTCCAATTTCCCCTTCCTAAACACATTTCCAAATCCCCTCAGGCACAACACTCACATTTGATGCCTGTGGTTTCAGCTGCCGAGCTTTGGAATTCACTCCTTCAACCTCTACAACCTTCTTTAAGATTTAAAATAGACTTATTTACTTAATAAAAACCGAAAGAACTGCGGACGCTGTAAATCAGGAACAAAAACAAAGTTGCTGGAAAAGCTCAGCAGGTCTGGCAGCATCTGTGAAGGAAAAAACAGAGTTAACGTTTCGGGTCCGGTGACCCTTCCTCAGACTTCTTTGTTTACTGTTTCAATCATCTGCAAAAATGCAAGTTGTTGCTGTTAATACCTTACACTGAGAGGAACAGGAATATCACACCAACCTTTTAAATTCGCGAACCAAAACGTCCAGAGTCCCTTTCAGACGGGAAACTTAAAGCTGCCGTTTCACTTTAAGTCAGGAACAGATCCTAGTTTGACCCGAATCCCTGACTTAACAGCACGTTTGCAGTATTCACCGCTCTTCTTGCTGACCCTAAACCCAGTTGTAAAGAAACTTGCGTTCCGTGTCTAGGAGCTGTGAACCATAGAAGAGAACAGCTGAGACACATTTCTTCGTCACCCCTCTTGCAGCTGCACGGCAGGAGAAACAGGAAACTGTGCGCGTGCACTACGTCACAAAGAGCCAGGGTGATTGACGGCAGGTAGGATCCAATAGGGAGACAGAGGCGGGTCTGGAGGACCGGACGGGAAAGGTTGGTCCTCCAACTAATCGGAGTCGACGAGGGTGGGGCTAAGGGCAACACGTGAGCAATGCCCATTGCCGTTCGTGCGCAGGCGCGATCTCGCTGTGGCTGCGTGCCGGAGCCGCGGAATCGGTAAGTTAGGGAGAGCAATGTAGTTAATGTGGACTGGGAGGTTTCATAAACGACTGGCGTACAATTATAGATCTGAATTTCAAGCTTCAGGTCCTGGTTTTGTAGCAAACCGGAAAAGGGCTGCGGGCCTCCGGCGGCGAGAGGCCGTGAGTCACCGTCGCTCTCTTTCTTGGGGACAATGGATGAGAGGTTACAAGATGATGAGGCATAGATGGAGTGGATAGCCAAAGACTTTTTCCCAGGGCGGAAATGACTATTACGAGGGGGCATAATTTTAAGGCGATTGGAGGAAGTTATATGTGAGATGTCAGAGGTAGGTTCTTTACACAGAGAGTGGTGGGCGTGTGGAATGCGCTGCTGGCTTTGGTAGTGGAGTCAGATACTTTAGAGACTTTTAAGCGACTCTTGGATAGGCACATGGATGATAGTATAATGTAGGTTATGCAGGGTAGATTGATCTTAGTAGAATAATAGGTCGGTACAGCATCGTGGACCGAAGGACCTGTACTGTTCTATGTTCTAGAATATCCTTTATTGTCACAGATACTCCAGTACAGGAGTACAGTGAAAAGTTTTTACAGTGGCTGCCTTCAATGGTGCCATCTTAGGTACAAGTACCTAGGTACAAATCCTGCAGAGTAAAAAAAAAGATTAGCATGGAACGGTGAAAATGTCCAGAATGATAATAAGTGACCTTCAGTACTTAAGTTCCAGTCCTTACCTGCAGGGTCCCAAAGCACAAGGCCACTCTGCCGCCAATCCGGGAGATGCCCATTCGCCCAACTGCAGGACTCAGTCCATGCTTGCCATGCCCCTTGACTCCACTCTCCAGGTAGGGTAGGGGAAGAAAAGAAAAGCTGCGAAGAGGTTAAAAAATGAAGGGAAAGAGACTGGTGAGCAGAAGAACTCCAACCGGAGTGTCCTACTCCGCCACCATCTTGACTTGTTATCCAGGAAAAAACAGTTAACATTTCGCGTCCCGTGACCCTTCCTCAGAAGACTTCTGCAGAGGCTGAGGAAGGGTCACCGGACCCAAAACATTAACTCTGTTGTTTCCTTCACAGATGCTGCCAGACCTGCTGAGCTTCTCCAGCAACTTTGTTTTTATTCCTGATTTACAGCGTCTGCAGTTCTTTTGGTTTTTATTTTGACTTGTTATCCTGTGGGTCTGGGGGATATGATCACTGTTTTATGAGGCTCTGAATGTTGGGGGGAGGGTGTGTTTGCTGATTTATTTTGGGCCCTGGGGAAAGAGTGTTAAAGGCTCTTATGAATCCCACATATTTCAATGGGATCAACTCATATTCTTCTAAAATGCAGTAAGTAGAGTCCCAACCTGTTTAGCTTTGTTCATAAGGTAATCCTTCCATGTGCAGGCATCATTCAAGTGGATCTTATTTGAACTTCCTCCAATGAATTGATATCTCTCTTTAATGAGATTAAAACTGCCCACAATACTCCAGATGTGGTCTCAACAGCACTTAGTACAGTTGCAGAAAGACTTCCCTACTCTGACACTCCAACTCCCTCGAAGTAAAAGTCAACATTTTATTTAGCTTTCTGATTATCTGCTGCACCTGTGTGATAGTTTTCGTAGTTTATACATAAGTACCCCAAATCCCTTTGCATTATAGTTTTAAAAAGTCTGTTCTTTTGTTGGAGCAAATTGATGCAGATGCTGGAATCTCTACAGAAAACGACAAATGCTGGAGATCACAACAGGTCATGGAGAGAGAGTAACCTAAAGTTTTCCATCTAGATGACTCTTCATCAGAGGTGAAGTGAAATGTGGAGGTGGTAACATTTATACTATACTTGGGGAAGGGTGTGGGAATGGTGGGGTGTCGAGTGCAGGGGGAGAAAACATGTTGATAGTTCGGGTTAAGTGATCAGAATGTAAGAATAACAGAACAATGGTGTGTCTAACTGCCAGACTTGAAAGAACAGACAGTTCTACTAGGCTAGGGGCAGGGGAGAGAGGACATGGTGACAGAGAATGTGACAAGTAAAGTTAAAAATGAAGAAATGGCAGTTGGTTCACAATTTGAAAGTGTTGAACTCTAATATTAAGTCCAGAGGGCTGTAAACTGCCTAGTCTGAAGATGAGATATTGTTCCTCTAGCATGCCAAGGACAGAACATTTTTCCGCATAATACTCAATTTCTCTTGCCAAATTAAACTATCAATTTCTATGTATATTGAACTTGCCTCGGATTCCTTTCTCTGAGATTCCCTATGTTCTTCTAAACTCTGGTGAAAAGTCCTGTCTGAACAAACCTCTCTTAATACATCAGTCTGGTAAACCTTCTGTGCAATTCTTCAGTAGCCAGTAATCCTTCCTCAGGAAAGGAGAACAAAAGTGCACAGAACAACAGGGTTGAGTTGTAAATCGATGAAATGCCTCTGTTCACCTTCCTGCCTCTGCTGCTCCCTCCCAGCCAGCTGTGGTGACTCTCCCCCGCCTCCACTGCTCTCCATTGTCAGAGTCATACTGCATGGAAACGGTCTAACCAGTCGGTGCCGACCAAAATCCCAAACTAAACTAGTCCTATCTGCCTGCACTTGGCCCATATCCCTCCAAACTTTTCTTATTCATGCACTTATTCTTTTTTTGAACAAGTGAAAGAGGACTGATGAAAGCAGGGTGGTGGACATTGTTTATATTGAATTCAATAAGGCGTTTGACAAGGTTCCACATGGTAGACTGGCAAACAAGGTTAGATCACACGGAATACTGGGAGATCTAACCATTTGGATACAAAATTGGCTGGATGATAGGAGACAGAGGATGGAGTTGGAGTGTTGCTTCTCGGACTGGAAGCCTGTGACTAGCGGTGTGTTGCAGGGATCGGTGCTGGGTCCACTGCTTTTTGTCAGGTATAGAAATTGGATGTGAATTTAGGAGGTATAGTTAGTAAATTTGCAGGTTACACCATAATTGGTGGTGTAGTGGACAGCGAAGCCGGTAACCTCGGAGTACAATGGGATCTTGATCTGATGGGCCAAGGAGTGGCAGATGGAGTTTAATCTTGATAAATGTGAAGTGTTACATTTTGGTAAGGCAAATCAGGGCAGGACTTAGACATTTAATGGTAACGTTCCAGGAAGTGTTGCTGATCAAAAAGACCTTGAAGTACAAGTTAATAGTTCCTTGAAAGTGGAGTTGCAGGTAGATAGGGTAGTGAAGACAGCATTTGGTATGCTTGTGTTTATTGGTCAGTGCATTGAGTATTGGAATTGGGAGGCTCTTGAAATTCCCCAGCCTAGGGAAAAGACATATGCCATTCACTTATCTGTAGTCCTCATGATTTTATAAACCTGTATAAAGTCATCCTTCAACCTATGCTCCAGTGAAAAAGTCCCAGCCTACCCAGCCTCTCGTTGGGTCTCAAACTCTCCATTCTTGGCAGCTTCCTGGTAATTCTCTTCTGAACCCTGAGATAACAAGGTGTAGAGCTGGACGAACACAGCAGGCCAAGCAGCATCGTAGGAGCCGGAAGGCTGACGTTTCAGGCCTAGACCCTTCATCAGAAATTTCTGATGAAGGGTCTAGGCCCGAAAAGTCAGCCTTCCTGCTCCTATGATGCTGCTTGGCCTGCTGTGTTCATCCAGCTCTACACCTTGTTATCTCAGATTTTCCAGCATCTGCAGTTCCTACTATCTCTTCTGAACCTTCTCCAGTTTAAAAATATTCTTCCTATAATAGGATGACTGGATTTGTACACAGTACTCCAGAAAGACTTCACCAATGTGCTGTACAACTACAATATAATGACCCAACTCCTATACTTAAAAGTCTGAGCAATGAAGGCAAGCATGCTAAACATCTTCTACATGTGATGCAAACTTCAAAGAACTGTGTACCTGAACCTCTAGGTATCTCTATTCTATAACACCTCCCAAGGCCCTACTTTTAATTGTATAAGTCTCGCCCTTGTGTTTTACCGAAATGCAATACCTCACATTTATCCAAATTAAACTCCATCTGCCACTCTTCAGTCCGTTGGCCCAATTGATCAAGATTCCTCTGTAATCTTAGATAAACTTTTTTGCTGTCCACTATACCACCAATTTTGGTGTCATCTGCAAGCTTACTAACCATACCGTCTGTATTCGCATCTAAATCACTTGTATAAATGACAAACAAAAGTGAACCCCTCACCAATCTCTGTAGAACACTGCTGGTCACAGTTGTCCAGTCCAAAAAAACACGCTCCACCGTTGCTCTGTCTACTGCCATTAAGCCAATTTTTCTATCTAATTGGCAAGCTAATCTTGAATCCCATGTGATCTAACTTTACTAATTAGTCTCCCATACCATATTCTGTGTGAGCACTGATTCAGACCCTTCCGTTAAGGATGTTTATAGTTGTGGTGATGATCCAGCAGTTCCCCAAGTGTCAGCTCCATAAAAAACCAAATTAATTTCTCTTAGTTTTGCAACCTGTGTGTTCACTTCTGGTTTCTCCCTCACCGTATTTGTTTTCTGTTTGAAAGGTTGATTCACGGTTAGAGAATTCAAACAATACCGCATCCAGATCTGACAGTCACTCTGTTTCTCAAACTGTAAATATCTCAGGATTTTGGACGTTAAAGGAAAAAGCACCAGTCACACTGGGGAGAAAGAGCTTATCTGTATGTGGAAGGAAGATTTTGTGAAGATTTATCTGAAATTTCAAAACACTGGCGCAGTCCCAAGGGAGAGACTGTTGAAATGCAGGGATTGTGGGAAGGCATTTCTTTATCCTTACTAGATGAAAATTCATCAGTGCAGTCACACTGGAGAGAGACCATTCACCTGCTCTGATTGTGGAAAGGGATTCACTTCATCATCCAGCCCACTGAAACACCAGCAAATTCACATTGGGGAGAAACTATTCACCTGTTCTGAATATGGGAAAGGATTCACTCACTCATCTAAACTGCTGACACACCACCAAGTTCACACTGGAGAGAGAGCATTCGCCTGCTCCAATTGTGAGTAAGTCTTCATTCAGTTATCCCACCTGTTGATACAGCAGCACATTCACACTGGGGAGAAACCGTTCACCTGCTCCCAGCATAGGAAAAGATTCACTTAGTCATCTAAACTGGTGAAACACCAGCAGGTTTACACTGGAGAGAAATCATTTACATGCTCTGATTATGGGAAACAATTCAGTCAGTCATCCAGCGTACTGAGACACCAACGAGTTCACACGGGAGAAACCATCCAATTGAGCTGATTGTGGAAAGGGATTTATGCACTCAAACCATTTGCTGAAACACGAGCAAATTCATACTAGAGAAAGACTATTCACCTGCGATGTGTGTTGAAAGGGATTCACTCTATCAAACTGTTAACACCACTGAATTTATTCTGGATGGATACTGTTCACCTGCGTTTTGTGAAAAAGGCTGTGCTGTTTGCTAACACCAGCAAATTCACAAAGAAGCACACTTGAAGAAATTCACCCTTACTCATACCAAGTAATGAACTGTAGTCATTTGTACTAATGTTATTAAATCCTGCTGTATTAAGTGCTGATATTGTAGATAAAATGTAAATATAACTGTATATCTGCAGGGCATATTTTGGAATTGAGCATAACATTGCTGTACATCAAGTTCATGCTGAGTAAAGATTCTCTGACTGCACTGTGTGTGAAAAGGGACTTTTTTGGTTCATCAGGACTGGGTAACTACCAGTGAGTTGCCGAATAACTTCAGGAGTTGGATTTGAATGCTACTGTTATCTATGTCCAAACTGTTATCTGTGGTCTGTTTCTGACGAAGTTTGTACACATCGTCATCATTGGTGGTCCTTTGCAGACGAGGCTGACTCTCTTCAGGGTGGCTGTACATATCTATTCTGCTACCACAGGCTCTGTTACACTTGGGGCAGAAGGTGAGTCAGGCATTGGTGTGGCAGCATGTTCCTTTTCGCTGTTTTTGCCTGTCTTCCACATTTTCCAAATGACAAGTCTTGACGTGCTCGACACCTTCCCAGATGCTGTTCGTCCACTTTGGAGGTCTGGGTCCAGAGATACCCAGATGTCAATTGAAATGCCACATTTCGCCATTGAGGCCTTGAGGGTATCACTGATGTGCGTCCTCTGCCCACCTGGGGTTCACCTGCCATTTCAAAGCTGGGAGTCGAGCACCTGCTCAGGGTATCTCTCATCAGTCATGCAGACAACATTCCTGGCCCATCGTAACCAATCAAAGGTATTTAGTGCCTAGATGCGGGGAATGTTGGCCTGATTAAGGATGCTGGTGTTGGTTTGTCTTTCTTCCCAGCGGATTCAGTGGATCTTGTGCAGGCAGCATTGGTGCTATTGCTCCAGCACCTTGAGGAGTCTGATGTGGATAATCCATGTCTCAGAGCCATATAGGTGGACAGGAACCACCACAGCTCTCTTGGTGTCAGATCTAATGTTGTTGCCCTTGAACACTCTTTTCCCCGGACATGAACAGGCTCCACTAACAGTCCCGGATCTCTTCTTCAGCTGTTTTGGCGGATAGGGCACTCCCGAGGTATTTGAAGTGGGATAGGCAATAATTGCTGGCCAGCCAGCAATGCCCATATCCTGCAAATGAATTTTTTTTTTAAAAAGTGGTCAACATTCTTGAAGGCCTCCCCATGGTCCTTGATGATCAGGGGTTTGCTTCGCCAGGCCAGGCCAGGTTAGTTTAGGACCTTCATCTTGGGGATATTCAGAGTGAGACCCATGTTCTCATATGCTTATGTAAACATGCTGATGATGGTCTGCAATACATCCTGAGAGATTGCACATTTCAAGCATCATCTGTGTACTGCAGTTTGTAAACATCATATGCATCAAATGGCCGTGTGATTGGAAACCTTAGGCTTGTTTTGATGTTTTGACAACTAACTTGAATCAACCATTTAATGTAAACCAAGCACTTAGCGATTGAAAGCCAATTGAATTTAAATCTGATGGTTTTGACAACATCAGACCCATGCTATTGTAAGAAAATTGAATGTCAGCCAAGAGATATAAGGAGAGGGTTGTTGAAAATCAACATGAGAGTGAACCACGGTCTGAGAAATAAGCATATAGCGCTCACAAGAAATTGCTAAGCTCTCTAACAAAATGCCATCTATCCATAAAAGGTATCACCACTTAAAGGCACTTCTAGCTAAGAGCCCTCAGAGAGAAAACATCCCTGACAGCTGGATCAGTGGAAGAAAGGCGTTCATGACTGGAGAGACAGTGGAGAAGGCAGAGCATACATCCTGTGCGGAGTTTGAGAGACCAAATTTTAATTTATTTTCTTATTACCTGGGTTTATATAAGTGGGACTTGTGTTTACTGGAACAGCATACCAGTAGAATTTTTAATTCAGTTCGGGAATAGTTAGGAGTTAGGGGGAATTTGTTTGGTTTGTTAGTAGTTCTGTTAATTTGCTCACTGTTAGGGTTAAATAAATAAATTGTTACTTATAATGTGAATATCAGGGATTTTCTTTCATTTAACCTTCTCTCCATAACACTCCCACAATCTAAAGATGTGCAAATAAGTAGACTGGCCATGCTAAATTGTCCATCGTGTTCAAGGATGTGTCAGTTAAGTGCATTAGCCATGAGAAATGCAAGGTTAGGGTAGGGGAATGAGTCTGGATGGGACTCTCTTCAGGGGTCTGTGTGGACGTGTTGAGCTGAGTGGCCGGTTTCTGTATTGTGTGGATTCAATGATTTTAAATACAAATGTGGTTTCCTCCTGCTACTTCTATGGGTTTTGAATTCCAAACTTTATGAAGGTAATCACTTCACAAAATCTCAAGGTTCCACTTCATTCCTCTTGACCTCAAAAACAAATCTTGAACTTCTCAGCTGTCGCTCCTTCAAAACGTTGCAAATCAATTTCAGCACTTAAAGTCAAATTAAGCACTTAAAGCACCAGGATTTAAAATGCAACATTGCAATTTCAATGTTGGTATCTGCTTCTTTAAAGAACCTATATTACTCCCAGTCACTCTGTGGAACAGAGAATGAATTTGTGAATCTGCCCCTCTGTCTGCTGAATCACACTTGATACTTTCATCAATTTCTTTGTTCTGTGTGTTATCAACTTTTGTGGCTCATTAATTTGTGGGCTGGTTATTCATTATTTGGTTAAAAAGTTTGTAAGGACAGGAGAATCTGTTGCAACCATTACCAAATTTAAAAGGCCCTTTCGTATGAAAAGAAATGTTCATGAAGAGGAAGATTCCCTAAATTGTACAAATTGACCTTTCCTGATTGAAATTCAGAGAAAACGTCATTCTTTCTGCGTTGCATAACTACTGATCTGAGTGCTACCATTCACTAGTTTTATCGAACGTCCCCCTATTCACTGCCGACACCATACCCAGCCATCATTGGTGAATGAATTCCTTCTGTTCAGGGACAACTGATACTAAAAAGTGAAGATTTGTGTCAAGTTATGGCATTGGTCTCTGACTCAGTAGAATTTATTTCCTACAAGTATTATTTGGCCGTTCTACGCCATTTTAATAAACAAATCCTAAGAGAAATATTTTGTGTTTCTTATGGCCGCCCAGCTACCCAGCAGTCTCCGCGGTCTCGAAAGTTCCTCGTTCACAGACACCAGATCAGTACGCAAGCGCAGACGCCATGGTGAATAGAGCATGCGCGTAGCGGATGAAGTCGGAGGCTGGTGTTTCTTTTCTCTGCCCCGAAACGTTCCAAATGATGCGAGAAGAAGGGAGCGATGAATTGGGCGAATACACTGAAAGACTTCATGAACGTTTTCTGTAAGGCACGTAGCCCAGAAAGTGACATTTGGTCGGACCGTTTGTACGAATCGAGGGCGAATTATACTTTCGCGCTGAGGCAGGGCCCTGGGTGATTGCCGCCATCTTTGTTAGGGACTCAGGACTGCAGAGCTATGTCCGACAGCCATTTTTGTAGGGGGTCATCTTTGGTATGACTGGGAGGAGCTTGCTGCCCGTTCTTCATAATAGAAACAGCCTGTCCATCAAGATGCATTAGCCTTTCACACCCAATGTGTTATTGATGAGGCAGATCGGCAGCACAGAGGGAGAGAAAGGAAGCAAATTCTGCTCTCTAAATCCTGCTACCCATGGGAAGATTTACTTCATTGTTCAAACTCTGCTCAGTCACACGAAGACTCAGGACAGAAAATCCTGACCCTGAGTAGACTTCATCCCCAAATCAAAGGACTATCAACCGTTAGGAGAGGCTATGATAGCAGGAAATGTGTGTAGTCATTCTGGCACACAAGCAGGGGAATGTTGTGAATTTGTATCCTGAACTGACAAGGATGGCGTTTTGGGATTAGAAATGGAGGATTTATATACAGTGAAATCAAACCAAGAGAAATGTTTGCCGCTTCTGAATATTTGTCCCTGACTATCATTGATGGATTTTGTAAACATTCTTTATAGGATGTTCACTGAAGATGCTGTCACATCTCCTATGGCCTAACTATTTCCTCAACTGTGAGACCTTTTGCTGACTCCCGTGTTTCTGACATCTTTCCAGATACAGCATGAGATATTAAAACTGGAAATTGAAGTTGTTCCAAAGGTGAGTATTTTCAAATGTTCGCTGTTTTCTAGTTGGGTCTGAAGAATAATGGGATTAACAAACTAGATCAGGGGATTGGCAAAGTAGATATCGAAAGGATGCTCCTCATGGAGGTAACTAGAACAAGAGGTTTAGGATAAGGGCTAGCAGATTTAAAACGGAGATGAGGAATAATTACTTTTATCAAAAGATTGTGGATCTGTAGAATTCACTACCCCAGGGTCTGGTGAATGCTGTGACATTGAGTAAATTTAAGGAAGAGATAGGCAGAGTTTTAATTAGCAACGGGTTGAGGAATTTTTGGGAGTTGGCAGGAAAGTAGAATTGAGGCCGAGGTGCGATCAGCCATGATTGTATCAAAGGTGGAGCAACTTGGAAGCTGAATTGCCTATTCCTGCCCTTGATTCTTATGTTCTCCAACTTAATGTAAAACCTTAAGAATTCCAACTTGGCATCTTTCCTATACTGCATTCTATTTCCTATTTTATCTACTATACTGCAAAGGCAAGATTATAATGACATATGATGTTTGCTTCTAATAGTCATAGATTCATACAGATATACAGCACGGAAACAAACCCTTCAGTGCAACTCATCCCTGCCTACCAGGCAGCCTAAATTAATCTGGTCTCATTTGCCAGCATTTGGTCCATATTCCTCTAAACCCTTCCCATTCATAAACCCATCCAGATGCCTTTTAAATGTTGTAATTGTACCAGCCTCCACCACTTCCTCTGGCAGTTCATTCCATACACATACCACTCTCTGCGTGAAAATCGTTCCCCTCTCATCTCAAACCTATGCCCTCTAGTTTTGGGCTCCCCTACACGGGGAAAAGACCTTGACTATTCACCCTATCAATGCCCGTCATGATTTTATAACTTCTAACCCTCAGCCTCCAATTCTTCAGGGAAAATAGCCCCAGCCTATTCAGCCTTTCATGAGAGCTCAAAGCCTCCAACCCTGGCAACGTTCTTGTAAATCTTTTCTGAATCCTTTTCAAGTTTAACAGAATCTTACCTATAGCACCTATTCTAAAAAGGGCCTAGCCAATGTCCTGTACAGCTGCAACATGACCTCC